CCGTAATTTTTTCGTCCACAACCATTTCTGTAACACGTTTGCAATTAAAGAGATTAAACTAGATCAGATTCGTATAGGGAGTTTCAACTTTGTTTTCACTTATTTTTGTAGGTGCGCTGATGTCGATTTTTTTAAAAATGTATATGATGTTCATGTATATATAAAAATTTTTACTAATTTAGAGATAAATAGAAATGTACAATAAAGAAAAATATAAAAACTAGAGAAAATATGTTTATTAAAAAATTTATTTATAATTTATTTTTATGTATCTAAAATGAAATAATAAAAGATTTGATAAGAAATAATGTAAGATTTATAAATAAAATCAAGATATCTTTAAATGAAATTCTAATATAAGGAATTTTACATTTAATAAAAATACCTATTAATATTTGAAAATATCCTTTAAGATTGGCATTTCTGCGCATGCGTTTATGATAACCGTAAAGCAATGTGTTACGAGTGACGTGGCTGAAATGACAGCACGAGTTATGCGGTTCTCGATTTGATATTACATACTTTCGAATTTTATAAACTGATATAAAATAAATATGAATATTTAATAAAAATATCACGCATTTACAGAATTACAAGAATTTAAAGAAATAAATTCAGTTGTAAAAAAAAGTAAGTTGAAATCTTTAACCTATAATAAATAATTTGAGCAAAAATATGAAATAAAATTATTAAATAAATATAAATAGTGCATGAATTGATGAACGATCTTTTTTTATAATCATAGCAACATGACAACCTATGAAGATTTTATTCAACAAAATGAGGATCGTGATGGGGTTCGTTTTACTTGGAATGTCTGGCCATCATCACGTATTGATGCTACTAGGCTTGTTGTTCCCTTAGGAACACTTTATCAACCTATTAAAGAACGTCCCGATTTACCACCTATTCAATATGATCCAGTTTTGTGTACTAGGTCTACATGTAGAGCAATTTTAAATCCATTATGTCAAGTAGATTATCGTGCAAAACTATGGGTCTGCAATTTATGTTTTGGAAGAAACCCTGTAAGAAATACATTTATATAAAATATTCATCTAATGATAACTGAATTTATTTTATTTATTTATGGCTATAAAACATTTTTATGTTTATTTAGTTTCCACCACAATATGCAGCTATTTCAGAACAACATCAGCCAGCTGAACTAATTCCTATGTTTTCAACAATCGAATATACTATAATGGTAAAAATATCTTTATTTACGATTAAAAATACTTTTATTTATAAACTTAGATATTTATTTTCTTTTTTATACTATTTCTTTAGAGAGCACAATGTCTCCCTCCTATCTTTTTACTTGTTGTTGATACATGTATGGATGATGAAGAGTTAGGTGCACTTAAGGATTCACTTCAGATGTCTTTATCTTTGCTTCCACCTAATGCTCTAATTGGTCTTATCACTTTTGGAAGGATGGTTCAAGTGCATGAGTTAGGTTGTGAAGGATGTAGCAAAAGTTATGTATTCCGTGGTACTAAAGATTTACAGCCAAAACAGGTTCAAGATATGCTTGGTTGGTATTAAACTATCTAATATGTTTTTTATTCAAATTTCTTTTATTTATCATTGTTTTTAATAAATTAGGTATTGGTAGACCAATACCTGGTCAAAATCCAAATCAACAGAGAGGTTCTGGTGGACAGCCCTTACCACCGGCTAATCGATTTTTACAACCAGTACATAAATGTGATATGAGCTTAACAGATTTACTTGGAGAGTTGCAACGTGATCCTTGGCCAGTTGGACCAGGAAAACGTCCACTGCGTTCAACTGGTATGGCATTAGCTGTTGCTACAGGACTTTTGGAAGCTAGCTATGCAAATACTGGAGCTAGGTAATGAAATAGTATTATTGATAATAATGATATAACAGTCTTATATATATTCTTTATTATAACATAAATAATTTTTTAGAATCATGCTCTTTGTTGGTGGACCATGTTCTCAAGGTCCTGGTCAAGTTGTGACAGACGATCTTCGTCAACCCATTAGATCACATCATGACATTCAAAAGGATAATGCAAAGCACATGAAAAAAGCTACTAAACATTATGATGGTCTTGCTTCTCGTGCTGCCACTAATGGTCATATAATTGATATTTATTCATGTGCTCTTGATCAAACTGGATTATTAGAAATGAGACAGTGTTGTAATTCAACGGGAGGCCACATGGTAATGGGAGATTCATTTAATTCATCTCTTTTCAAACAAACATTTCAAAGAGTATTCACAAAGGATGCTAAAGGTGATTTAAAAATGGCATTTAATGCTACTTTGGAAGTTAAAACATCGCGAGAACTTAAAGTTTCCGGTGCTATTGGACCGTGCGTTTCTTTGGGTATAAAGGGATCTAGTGTAGGAGAGCAAGAAGTTGGTTTAGGTGGTACATGCCAATGGAAATTCTGTTCTTTAACACCATCGACTACAACAGCAATTTTCTTTGAAGTTGTAAATCAACATACTGCGCCAATTCCACAGGGTGGAAGAGGTTGCATTCAATTCATTACACAATATCAACATAGTAGTGGACAAAGAAGAATTAGAGTTACAACTATAGCTAGAAAGTATGTATTATTATTGTATAAATTTTGTATTTTGTTTTTTTTTTGTTTCGTTCATAATATTTTTAATCATAGTTGGGCAGATTCATCTACATCATTGCATCATATAAGTGCAGGCTTTGATCAAGAAGCAGCTGCAGTTCTTATGTCACGTTTAGCTGTCTTTAAAGCTGAAAGTGATGATGGTCCTGATGTTCTAAGATGGGTAGACAGAATGCTTATAAGACTTGTAATTATTTCTTAATTATTATTTTAACGTCATAACTCTCTAATATTATATAAAATATAAAAATTTATTATTTATAAATTACAGTGTCAGAAGTTTGGTGAATATTCTAAAGATGATCCAAATAGTTTTAGACTCGCAGAGAACTTTTCATTATATCCACAATTTATGTATCATTTACGTAGATCCCAATTTTTACAAGTATTTAACAATTCACCAGATGAAACAAGCTTTTATAGGTAAAGTTATTTCTGTTACATTTATTTATTATTTTTTCTATGTTACATGTTATTAAATTCACTTTTATAATAGACACATGCTAATGCGAGAAGACTTGACAAATTCTTTGATAATGGTGCAACCCATTTTATATAGTTATGGATTTGGTGGTCCACCTGAACCTGTGTTACTTGATACTTCGTCAATTCAACCAGATAGAATTTTATTGATGGATACATTTTTCCAGATCCTCATATTTCATGGAGAAGTATAAATATTTTTCTGTTATAGTCTCATATATATATATATATATATATATATATATATATATATATATATATATATATATTTATATATATAGTGTCATATATTGTTGTTATATGCATTATGTATAAGTAATATTTCTTTCAATAGACTATAGCACAATGGCGACAGTTAAAATATCAAGATTTACCAGAATATGAGAATTTCCGTCAGTTATTAGCAGCACCAGTTGATGATGCTGCTGAAATACTTAGTGGAAGATTTCCAGCACCTAGGTATATTGATACAGAACAAGGAGGCTCGCAAGCAAGATTCTTGTTGAGCAAAGTAAATCCCAGTCAAACTCACAACAATATGTATGCCTATGGAGCGGTAAGTTCATAAAAGAATTTTGTTTTATTTTATATTTGATTATTTTAATTTTGTATTAAGTAATATCAAAGTTATAGTTTAATGAGTTCATAAAGTTTCCTTGTTATTACATATATTGTCCTCATATATGCAAAAGTTTTAGCATATATCAATCATATGTAACTAATATTTTTTTTTGTCACCACGATCCTGTGAACCAGGGGATGCCGTTACCCAGTGGGGTGTGTTTTTCAACTCATTATTAAATTGCTTTTTTTTTTATAAGACTTCAATGCTTTGGTGGTGGACTTTCTTGAAATATTGTTAAATTTTTTAATTGTGACAATTTCAAAAATAACGTATCGAAATTATTTATCATTTTACTTAAGATATCACACACACACAAAATTTATTATATTATTTATCATTTAGCAGTATTTTTCATATTTATCTACATATAACATTCTTTTCAATCTACATGAATATAACACGATAGGTATGTTGAGATACATACAATGCTAAAAACAGAATGTTTGCACTTTAGTAGTTCATATGATATTAATAATTAATAAATCTATTGCTTAATATGCTAATATGACACAGCTTTATATAAATATGTTTTTATATGTACATACTATCTGTATGTATATGTAAAATACATATAAATTGATGTTTTTCATAAAAAATTTTTAGCATTTCTATGTTTAAGGTTGAGGGTTAAACTTATGATCTTATCTTATAAATTATTTTTTAATTTTTGTTACTAATTTAATAAATTACCGTTTAGGAAAGTGGAGCTCCTGTTTTAACTGATGATGTCAGTCTGCAAGTATTCATGGAACATTTAAAGAAGTTGGCTGTTTCTTCTACAGCATAAATCTTATATGACTATCTATCTTAGAATTATTAATTTCTATACATGCGCATTATACAATTTCTAACCTCACTAGCATTATTAAGAATCATTAATTTTTTATATTTGATGGAATATCAAGTATATTAAATATATAAAATAAGTTTTGTAAATTTGTCAAAAAGAATTTTGAAACATGCAATTTATTTAAAACTTAAATGTATACAGCAATCCACATAATGTATTTTTCTGTCTTATGGTTTTAAAAATCAATAATTGTTGTTCATATAAATATAAGATTGTATTAATAATATAGAATATTGTTAATATTATTCCAATTGTTTGCTTTTTTACATTACGCCATATTTAAAAATTATTGTTATTTATAATGCCTAACATATAGATAATATGTAACACAAATAGGATATAATATGCATATAAATTATAGAAAGATTATTATATAAAAATGTAATATTCATTAAAGATAAAGAAACAGAGAATATTACATATATTAATATTTATTTCTTTATTTTTCTTTTTTATTTTGATATTTTTAACATTATTAACAAAGAAAATCTTTTAGAATATATAGTAAATTTAGCTAAGAAATCTTATAGACATTTTTTGTTCAACATCTGTTCGTTCCAGTACCTTGCAAAATTCTTCCAAAGATATCATACCATCTCCATTTTCATCAGCTTCAAGAATCGTACGTTCTGCAATGCTGGTGAGTTGTTCTTCACTATATATGTATAAAGACATACTCATATGTATATATTTATATAGTGATCCAAATTTACTTGTTTGTAAATATTATATATACTTCCTACCTAATATTAGCTCCAACCATCATATGCAAAATAGCCAATAATTCATCTTTAGATATTAAGTCATCATTATCCAAGTCATACATTTTAAAAGCAACTAAAAGTTTAAATTATTAAATAATTGTTATGATTTGTTAATTATAATTTCTAGTATTTATTAATCAAATTGCTTATATAAATAATAAATGAGTGAATTTGCGAAACATCTAAAACAATAGTATTACGTACACTTTAATTTTTCCTGCCTCGAGTTTAATCTATTAGGACTGTTTTTCTTGATTGGCCTAAAATGTGCTAATACTTGCATGAACTGTAAAAAATTAACTCTATCGTTACCACTTTCATCAAAAAAGGCGTTCACTATTCTTTCACCAAGAGGATTTATTGCAAGTTCAGGAATTCTGAGAAAATCTTCTCGACTTAATGTACCACAGTCTCCACGATCTAGACTAGTAAATCGACTATACAAACGTTCAATTTGATTTGGAGTAACTAGAATAAATGCAATAGATATGTAATTAAATATATATATACAAACACCACATACGTATTTAATAAGATCTTATTTTTCATCTACGTTAATATTTTAATAATGTTATAATTTTTTCAATACATACATCCTGTTGCTTCTTGAATTTGAGCTATTTCTTCTTCACGTAAAAGAAGACTAGATTTATTTCCCATTTTATGCTATAAATATATTACTTTATGATTTTAATATCAATATTATTATATTAATTATGTAATCACGATTTCATATCTATTTTAAAAACTTCAAAGTACAATTTTCAAATACAGATTTCAACAATTAAAAGATTGAAAGTATGTATAACATATATAATTATTGTTCACTATCGTCATATGACTCTAGCAAATTTTTGTTTACTTTTATTAATTATTTAAAATGAAATTGCACTTGTAGATTCTAATTTCATTTTTTGAGTTCTTATTTCAATTAATTTTATAATTTCATAAATGGAGCTAATCACAGAATTATTATATTGTATGATTTCTTCTGTCCACACACACACACACACACACATATATATATATATATATATATATAGGTTGCCAACTTAACAAAAATAAATTATTCAAGAGAATAAATAAAAAATAAGAAAAATAAGAAAATAAATAAAATTAATAATATAAATTAATTATATAAATTAATTATATAAATAATAAAATAAATTAAATAAATTAAAAAAATAATAAAATAATAAAATAGTAAAATTTGATTGATAAAGTTAAATGAGAAGTATAATTTAATGTAAATATTTATCAATTAAGCCCAGATGAAACAATAAGTGTAAAATATCGATAATTAAGTTACTATATTTGTAAGGTTCATTTTGTTTAGTGTTTCTAGTAAGGTACGCGTGCAGTGGTTAATCTCAGAGAAGAGTGAAGTTGACAGAAAGAATGCTACAATGCAAAGAACATGAATTCAAATGTTTATAACTTAAAAATAAAATAAAGATAAGATAGGAAACAATCACGAATTTAACTATATTAATATAGTCAACTTTATGAATAAATAGAATAGATTAGCCAATATTCCTTTTTCTTGATAGTTTAAGAACCAAAAGATCAATTTTTTTTAATTCTATTTTTTAAATCGAAGTTTAAATTCGCGAGTTTTTGTAAATGTCATGTAAGGTCTTTTGAATAACTGCTAAAATACATTCTAAATAAATTCTTAATAATTTTATAGTTTTTGAATAAATTTTTATGAAATTATGATTATGTATATGTAATGAAACAAGTGCATAGTTTTTTATTTTTATTATTAATTAATAATTATTACATTTAACAAAGATGAGCTCAAAAGATGAATTTTGTAACGATTATTGTTAGTCGTTTTTATACATCATTGTTGTGATATAAAAAATGTATATAATCTTATAACACTGTAATGTTTTTTGATGACTTTAGGTAAAGTTGTAATTCCAGAAACATCATTTTCTGTGAAAGTTACAAATGTTAAGAATCCATATTACATAAGAATATATGAAATTAAAAATTATATTGAAAAATCTAGTCTTATCACTAGAAAATTAGTAAAATATATGAAAAAGAAAAAGTTGAATTCAAAGAATAATGATGAATTAAATTTAGGAGATGTAAGTTAAAATATTTATATTCTAATAATTATATAGATCAAATAGATCAAATACTATATTTATTTTTATAGTTTGTCATTGTTCATGGTAAAGAAAGTCAAAACGTGGATCTTCCAGCATGGTTTTGCAGAGGAATAGTTGGTCATTTTAATCCCACAACTATGAGATATAATGTTCTCTTAGTAGATTATGGGATTTCATTAACATTATTAAAAGATGATTTTATTTTTTTACAACATGATATTATATCTGATAAGTATTTAACATCAGTTATTGGTATATATAACATAATACCTACAATTATTAAGAAAAAAGAGTCTACAAATGAATTTATACAGTTGTAAGTAAATTTGTTTCTTTAATACAAATATGTATATGCTTATCTTAATATTTCTTAATTTTAAACAGTATAACAGATAAATGGACAACCAAAGCTATAAAATTCATAAAAGAATTAATTGTTGCATCTAGTACAATATATTTTGATAAATTAGTCTGTGATGAGAATGGAAAATATTATGGAGAATTATATCTTGTTATAAATAATGAAATAATATGTTTAAGTAAAACTCTAACTGAAAATGGTTATGCAACTTATTTAAAAGGAGGTAATTTTCTTTTATTACAATAATATTTGATATATAGCATATTAAATGTAAATTTATATCACATAATATATAAAATATTTTGTCCGTATAGATCTATTAAAATTAATAAAGGAACCGAATAACAAGTTTAAAAAAGAATCCAAGGATAATATTACTACTTATTATATACAAAAAATAAATGATTGTAATTTATATAAAAATAAGGATAATATGGCAAATTTAAGTAAATATCATTCCAAAGAAAGCAATGCTGAATATAAAGAAAGGTAAGAGAAAAACAGTAAATAATATTTATCAATAATATAGTAGAATACATGTGTATGTGTATTATTTTTATTCATCTTTTATTATTAAACTTTTATTTAACACCCATAATATTTAGGTTCTATGAAAAATGTTCAAATGTGATAATAGAAAACCGTACACGTAAAGTATTAGTATATAGTAATATATTATGTAAAACTTTGAATTTTGTTACCGACGCTCAATTTCCTGCAAAGATACATCAGGTGTGTTTCTGAAAAGAAATATTTTCTTATATCTTTTTACTTCAACGAAAACATTTTTGTTATTTAATATATAAAACATTGTATATTTTTTCTTTTTATACAGGCTTGGGATTCATTAGTGCAATCAAGTAAACCTAAGAAGATGCAATCATATATTTGGCCTGCTATAAAGCAAAAGCTAGATGTGGTTGCTATTGGAACTAAAGATTGTGGTAAAACGTTTGGATACACTTTTGCTATTACTGGTTTACTTGCTGCACAAGATTCGGTAATTATTATTACATAATTATTTAATATAAATTTATTTGGTTTGGTTTAAGTGTAAATGAAATTTACATTTAAGCTTTATATTTACATTATCTATTATGTATATTTTTTTGTATGCATCATGGTTACATTTAACTTATTAGTCATATTAATGATATATTTGTCTTTGTTAATGAACTTAAATATTCCAATACAGTTGCCTGAAGGAAATAAACCATCAGTGTTAATACTATGTTCATCATCTTCAGAAGCATTCAGTGTACATTCACTTTGCTTGGAATTTTTGCAAAGCTGTGATAATATTAACACAGTTTTAGCATTTACTGGAAAATCATACAGATTGCTGGCGGTAAGAATATACATGTAGATTCTTATTTTCTTACATATATGTGAAGTCTGTAATAAGATTTATTTATATTAATTTTATTGTTTCTAGGCTGAAATATACAATGGATGTCAGATATTAGTTTCAACACCAAGATTCTTAGCACAATTTATAAGAACACACAAAGATTTGTTGAATTTTGATAGTCTTTGTCATTTAATTCTTGATAGTGCAGATGTGATATTAGATAAATATTATGCTTCTGTAAGGCAAATAATTTTTATGATATAATATAATTATAATGATATGATATCAAATATTATTTGTATTGTGATGTTTTAGATAGTGGAATTATTTGGAAAACATAAAATAATAAAAAATAGAGAGAATCAAAATGACGAATTATTTCCATTGCAAATAATCTTTGCTGCGAGATATTTCACTACACCAATAAGAACACTCGTTCAGAAAGTTATGTATAAACCATATATATGTATTACTTCATTTTTAGAAGCAGTAATATTTAAATCTGTTCAACCGAAGATGTATCTTATAAACTCAAAATTTAAACTTCAAAAGATTTTAGGTAAATATATTTGTACAAGGATTTCATCTTAAAATAAGGTATTAATAACATTTGTATATAAATGCACATTTTTTAGATGTATTGGATAATGAATACAAGTTAAAAACTATGATTATATGTACAACTATTGATGAAGCAGAAGAATTAAACGCGTTCTTATTGAAATATAGACAAACACTTCTAGCCCATGAGAAAAAGCATCTGTTTGAAATACAAGGTCTGATAAAAGTAAAAACAAAAATTATAGATCAATTTTATCTTTAAGAATATTCTCATCATACTATATTTATTTTTTTGTTATTAACATTGTACAGCTGTTAAAGAAATATGGGAAGTATCTGTTCCTGGTCATTATCCCATTATAATATCCACTGATGAAGTTTTATCTGATTTAGATATTACAGATGTGGATTGGTTGATACACTATTCTGTTTCATTACATGTACAAACAAAGTTTAATTATAGATTTTCAACACTTATGAATAATTTACAAAAGGTAGTAAAAGAAAGTTGTTAATTTTTTCTTTAGTATACAATTTATCTTAAATTTGATAAATCATTAGGTATCTAATATATCTTGATAATGCACATAGAGTAAGATAGTTAAATAATTTATTATATTTTACAGAGAACAACTAAATGCAAAGTTACGATATTTGTAAATGAAAATGATAATATACAATTTTTAAGTATAATTAATATGATGAAGCGAATGGGTGTAGTATTATCAGAGCATGTATTATTCAATATTGAGGTAGAGAAGGATATTACTTATATCAAGTCTCATTGTTATCATATTTTTTTTAATTCAGAAGTTTATAAATAAAAATATAGTAATAAAATATTAAAATTAAAAAAAAAAAAATATTTTTTATAGCGTATATCTATGTCATTGGATAAATGTAAAAGGGAATATCCTATATGTGATAAAGTGAAATCATTAGGATTTTGTCCAAACAAAAGTTCTTGTGTATTTAGACATTGTATTCTTCCTGACATCGATACACCAATGACAGAAATAGAAACGTAAGTTATACTTATTAGCTTTCGCCAAATTTTTAAAATATTGTCTTTTATTAATAGAATTAACTTAAATGCAGAAATAAGAATTAATATACAGAAATTCATAACATTTATACAAGTATTTAAGAGATTACCTGATCTGTATACAAATTTTTATCTTATTGCAGAGGAGATAAAGTTAAATTTATAATTACGTATATACACAATGCAAGTCATTTTTCAGCCAGAGTGATAGAATATGTAAAAGCAAGTACTTCGGAAAGGATAGAATTTTCAAAAAATGAGTATATTATGCTTACATCAAAAATTCAAAATTTTTATGGGAATATTGATAACAGGTATTAATTTATTAAAAATTCATTTCGAAAAAATTACAATAATTTTAACTGGAATTCTTTAATCATTAAATTCATGTAGGAAGAGGTCTGCTATCGTTAACGTAGGAGATATTTATGGCTTAGAAGACTCAATAGAAAGTTTTAAAAGAGTACAAGTCTTACAAATTAAAGATGGAAAAAGAAATCATTTTGAGAGTATGGAAAATGTAGATGTAAGATGTATTGACACTGGCAATATATTAAA